GAATCCTGTTAATCCTGCAAGATCTTTTAAAATATTCTTGTGGATCTTGTATTATCTTATAAGAATTCCTTCAAGTCCTACAAGATCCTTCAAAAGATTCTTGTAGGTCCTGCAGGGACTTGTGCATCTCATCCTATAGGATTCTTGTAGGATTTGTAAGATCAGTCGTCTAGTGTAATACTAATGATGATAATAATGTTAGGAGATTTTTTACAATGCAAGCTGCTTTTCTGAATTCACTGGAGTAAATAAAAGTTTGATTAGGCGACTTTACATAATTCTACAAGCATTCTTAATTTTTTCTATAATAAGCATTTTATAAACTCTTGAAGATATTCATGTAAATGTTGAAATGCATGCAAATTAATTTCACGCATCAGTTAAAAAAACAAATTAATAAAGCAATTAAGCCTAATATAAGAAAAATGTTTGTTAAAAAGTTTAAAAAGTACGTGTTTGTTTTTCGTCTAGAGGTTAGCCGAAAGCTCGATTAATGTTTTTTATATATATATATATATATATAAACTAAATACGAATATATTTTCCAAATAAATAAGCATTTTATGTATTTTTTGCTGTTTCGAGTTTTTACAAAGTTTTTTCATATGATTAAAAAGAACAATTTTGTTTAGTAAAAAAAAAAAAAAAAGAACAATTTTAAAGTTTTTGACTTTTATTTACAAATTTTAAATTTCACTTATATATATATGTATATATATATGTATATATATATATATATTTCCTTGAAGTGTCATATATTACTTTACATTGTGCAAAATTTCAACAATTAAACTTTAGTAACAAAAAAGTTATTGATTTTTCATCTAAAACAGACCTTTATTTTTCACAGTGCGGAGGTTTGATGCAACAAGTTTTGCCTCATTGCACATTGTTTTCTATCTGTCACGTTTAATTACTAGTTGTAAAATCATATTTGAAAGCATAAATTTTAGAATAAATTTTAAAACATTCGGATCTTTTTTTTTTTAATTTGAATCAACAATAGCTCCAACAGCATATAAAATTCGGAAATAAACAAAAAAAAGTAAAATTGAAAAAACAAAATCCCGGTGGGAAATGAACTAGCGACTAGCTTTATACAGGGTTGTTAGTCCTTAGCCTTGTCTTTAGCTTTGGCTTTGTCTTAAGGCCAAAATTAAGGCTTTAAAAATTAAGTTCTTGGCCTTGGTCTATGCCTTGAAAACTTTGGCATTGGCCTTGATTGTTTTGGCCTTGATTGCCCCCCCAAAAAAATAATACATAAAATTAAAGCATTAAAAGTTTTCATTCTTATTTTTTTTATGTATTTTTGTTTTCAGCTTTCATATATCTACAAGTATGTTTACTTATAGATTTCGTCGAATTTTGCGCTTAACCTTGGTTTATTTTTACAACATATGGTTTATTGTCACAGCAATTGTCACCTACAATTTTGTTGATAGTTAGCTTTAACGTTAGGCAAAAAATGAAGTCTTTGGTCTTGAAAATATTTGCGTAGGCCTTGGCCTTGAAACTCTTATTCTTGGCCGTGACCTTAAAACTCTTAGCCTTACCCTTGTCCTTGGCTATGTAACTTTTGGCCTTGGTCTTGCTACTTTTGGCCTTGTTAACAACTCTGGCTTTATAGCAAATTTCAAGCGATTTTTTTTTATTTTTTTATTTTTTCCTAATATCTTTAACATCTTTAAAATTTGATTTTTAGTTAGAGAATAACTTTAAACATAGCGATTTTGTAGAAATATGCTGCTAGATACATATTATGGCTTTGTAGCTAGCTATAAAATATCTACAAATCTATAGCTAGTTGATAGCTACAAATCAAAATTTTTTAGACAGCGTTTTTATACGCTAGCTACAATAGCCAGTGGGTTTTTAGCTTATTAAGCTAACTGTTTTTGTAGCCAAATTTCTGTCTTTATCTTTACAAATATCGATAGCTTTTCACAAGCCGATTTCCCACCGAGAATTTCAAAAAGATTAAAAAATTAAATAATTCAAAATTGAGTTTTTAATAAAGTTATTTAAATTATTAAAATGTGGGGGGAAGAAAGACACAGAAAACGAGGGCTTTTTTTCCTTTTAAGTTGTTAGTCAGAAAAAAAAAACAGATACGTCACCCCCAACCCCTTCTTTAAGATCACTTTGAGACGGCTCTGAACTTACCCTTACAAAGCAAGGTGACCTATTTGTTAGATTTAGAAGAAAACAATAAGATTTAAGACTAATATAATGACTACATATAATCGAATATTCAATAGAAAAATTAAAAATATTTTTTTTTACACTTGATTTTTTATTTTTTTTTAATCTAAAATAGAAAAAGCGGCCACGCACCTTACTTGACTGCCATCCAACAAACTTTTGTTGCGAATTGTGTTATCATTCTAATTCTTTATTGTCGACAATAGAGTTAAAATGGTAACATAATTTGCAATGATTTGCATGACATCGTAAGGCATTTGCATGACATTACATGACATGTCATATCATGTCATGGGATTAGGTATAATTAAAGTAAAAGTATGCAGTATACAGTTAGGTTGCTAAAACGTTGCTAAGACATTGTAAGGGAAATCAAATAGTTCATTTAACGTAGACAATTAAAAATAGTTAGAGGTTAGTTTATTTAATTAGATTAAAAATTAAAATGTAATTAATTTAAAAATAAATTTTATGAATTTACACAGTTATTAATAGGTAGAAATTAAAAAAAAAAGTTAAAAACTTTTGAAGTTCTGAAGGGGGGATATTTAACGGAACGGAAAACAATTCAAAACAGTAAATTTTGTCCAACAATGTGAGCAATATTCTTGAATCATTTCTAGAAAACTATTTCAAATTAATAGAATTTCGGAGATTGTCATTCCAAGAGTTAAATGATATTGAGATGGAAACAAGAGTTTGGTGAGTGAAGTTTGTGATGTCAAAAATTTATGTTGCTATCCAATTGCATGCGTTCTAAAACAGACAGACAATTTAAGTAAGACACTCTAACGTTAAGATACTTTGTCAGCGGAAGACTAAAGTTCAGCGTCTTAGATTGGTAATGTTCTAGTTAAATCCCGAAACAGCGAAATTTATAAGCTGTTTTCGTACTATTTTGTTTTACGTGCTATGGAATTTAAAACACAGCTGTATCTCTGATTATAAACAGATTATTTACAAAAATATTATAAAGATTATTTACAAAAAACTACAAACCCACTAAAATCTACCCCAGTGGGCACGGGATCTAAAAAAGTTGTCGTTTAACGTTCAAAAGACGTCCAAAAGGTTTAGAAGACGTTTTTAAGACATCTTTTTTTTGTCCCATGCCCACAAGAATACTTTCATGATTCACTAAAGGAACGTTAAGGCTTTAGATTTAGATTTTCAGCTTTATTAAACAGAGATTTACGTTGATCATTAGATAGGAAAATTATCTTCAATCAGTTTGTTGCTTTTAAAGTCAAGACATTAAACAGCTGTGGCAAACATTGAGCAGCCGTGGCGCAGTGGTAGCTCACTTGCCCCAGAAACAAAGGATCCGTGATTCAAACCCCACCTTTGGGCAAGTTTTGCCACAATGGTTAGAAAGAAGGCATGAACTTCCAATTAAATGTTCATCAACAGTGCCCTGTCAAAAGACCGTAAGGACTTCTTGGGTCATCTAAATAAAACTAAAAAAACAACAAAAAAACAAGAGCTAAAGCACAAAATGGGTACATCTTCCAAGCTTTGTAAAAACGATTCAAAATAACATCAAGTTTATAACAATGCCCCAAATCGCAACTTATCTCTGTCAACGACTAGATGTTGCAGTATTTAGAGGATTAAAGCAGTCGTGGAGGAGTACTCTTTTAAAGTGGAGAGCAGAAAGTTGTATCAAAAGAGCAATCCCAAAGGAACACCTACCTACACTTTTAAATAAGTTGAATAACACTTTGTGGTCAGAAGCTTTGATTAGCGGATTTCGAACATCGGGGATGGTCGAAATCCGCTAATCTGCCATATGGAAAAACCCTATGGAGGTTATAAAACGTCTTCCAGGAATATATAAAGATCCTGGTGATAAAGATACCGTAATCATTCTTAACGAATCCGTTTTAGATATTTAAAAAAATAATCGCAAATCTACCTGCAAAACGCAAACAACGTGATCCAAAAGTGGAGCCAGGTGAAAAAATTCATTATGTAGAAAAGTCAATGCCATCAAGTTCAACAAAGCTTAACAACAGATAGTAATTGGTACTGTGCTTTATGTAACAAAAATTGGGTAGAGTTAAGCAAATATGAATTCAATGCGACAAATGCAGTAAACCATATCACCTCCAGTGTTGTAACCTCATTTATGATAAAGGTTATTTTTATGAGCTCAATATTGAAATATCAACTTTGTATGCAGCATGTGTAAATCATTTGAGAAGCTGAAAAATAGTGACAGTTGATGTCCTGTTTTATGTAGGATAGATTTGTAAATATTTGTGATACATGTAGATTTATAGGTTTTAAACGTAGTGTGTTAATTTTTTAACATAAACTGATTTAAAAAAAATAGTTCTATATAAAATAAACTTTCTGTTATCTGTTTGATCTTTAACAGTATTTTCCCCCATTCTATTATTGTAATATAGTCTTAATCTAAGATATGAAAATGATATGTAGTGTTCAAATTCACCCCAAATTGGCTGTTCATTTTCACCCCGTTTCGGAAATAAGTATATATACTCGTGTAAAACCAGAAAACTAAGGTATTTACTTATTTTTACTTCATAGTATTGATCAGGCTTACGACTTTTACAGAAAGCTGAAAAATATAATGCTCTGTTACAAAAAAATGGTAGTGATTAGGCAAACAGTTTTCTTCCATGATGCAAAAATGTTCATAAAGCGTTCTTAGTCACCCCCATTCACGGAACTTTGTGTTAAAAATAGTATGACGTAATCTAAAATTAAAACCTGGTAACTAATATCTAATTTGGATAAACATATACTAGACCTAGACCCCTGATGCATCTAAAGCATTGTGGACCCTCGTAGCTATTGGCGTTATAAATTCTTGCATATAGTTTAAAAGTTCAACTTTCGTTGTTTGTGTTACTTTGTATATGATATATGTTTTTTTAAAGTCTTGTTGTTTTCATAATTCATTTTTAATAATAGGGATTCTACCACCCTTAACAGAATTGTTGCCATTGCGCGTTTATCCTGTAAAATAAAATTAGTTTTGGACTTAAGCATTATTTAGTGTAAAACATTTCAATTGGTAGGGAAACATTCATTGAGCAAAGAAAAAAATGTATTTTTTAGATTTTTTAAAACATCAAGTTTTTGAATAGCTATATTAATACTGTATTGCGAACGTGCCATCTAAATTAGGCGGGCTTTGATAGTTCTTGACATAGTAGGTGTCGTACGATGATCAATTTAGAAGTCTAAAGAAAAATGTTTTTTTGAAATACTATTTGTTTTTTTTTTCGGGGGTTGTACAAGTCGGTAGGTAGGTAGTTAATTTTCTTGTTGACTATGTCAATCAAGAAAATACAACCAGTTCTGCTTATTGCTGAATGAAAACATTATCATCAATGAAGATTAGGTTGACCTTAAGATTTTAAGAGAAATCATTGATAGGTAAGTTTTTAGTAGTAAGTATTTCTAAAAATAGTTTCATTATAAATGGTCATTTTAATTTTTTAAATGGTCTCAAAATTACAATAACTTATTTTTATGTAACAGTTTATATCACATGTACGAAATGATATTTCAAGGGGAGATATAAAATTTCTAATCAAGTTGGTTTTCTTTTGTCAGCTTTAATCATGTATGCACATTTTAATATAAATTTGAATAAAAGAAATTTTTATTGAAACTTGATACCAGATCGGTATTAAAATGATATAATTTTCAAATATATAGAACAATACTTTCATAACACATTCTGCTCTTTGATGTTCAAGAGTTGTTTGTGGTTATAGTTCTAATTTGAATTATTGGTCATTTTATAAAAAAAATTTTTAGGTTAGATTTACTGGATCATGCCTCGAAGTAGGTCAGCTTCACGCTCTCGAAGTCGCAGTGCTTCTCCTAAAAGAAGAAAAAATAAGGTAATAAATCTTAATAACTATTGATGCATAAGTATAAGTCTTATTAACATATACTAGATGTGGTATTTAGTATCTATTAGCAACTCTTAGACATTCTGATAGTTACCAATATATTCTTATAGTATTTAAAATTAAAAAGCAATTTAATGTAAAAAGCATTTCTTTATATATAATCTTGATGAAACTCTTTTTTTTTAAGTAATTAATATTGAAGTTAGGGTGTGAGACAGCATTCGATGTTTGGTGCCCAAAATATTGAATGCTTTCAAAAGCTATTTAGAACAGTTCCTGTATGTGTATTTCAAATTTCCGCCCAATCTCAACTTATGAGCTTTGAACATTCTCATTTTAAAAATAGTAAAATTGCAGTAAAAATTTAAATAAATTGAATTATGAAGTTATTAAATAAAAAAATTTTTAAAACTTGATAACATAATAATCTTAAGTATGTTAACAATAATTGAAAAATAAATTATTAACTTTCGTTAGAATTGATGACCTTACTATTCTATAATTTTAAAAGCAGTATTTTGTTATCCTAATTAGGATATCTTGTAAAAAGATGTGTGTATGTGTGTGTGGTATCTTGTAAAAGTGATATCTTGTGTGTGGGGGGGGGATATCTTGTAAAAGTGCATGTGTGTGTGTGTGTATATATATATATATATATATATATATATATATATATATATATATATATATATATATATATATATATATATATATATATATATATATATATATTAGTAAAAAATTAATTGCAAAATTTTTTTTCATTTAACACTGTGTTTCATTTTATTATATTTACTTTATTGATGAAACACAGTGTTAAATGAAAACAAATTTTGCAAAGTGATTTTCTACTAATTTGTAATTGCTCTGTTCTTTTAAGAACATTGAGCACTCTTTTTGTGGAATACATTTTAATTTGTTTAAATATATATACATACATCATGAAAAATAACGGCCAGTCAACGGTCAGCAATTGTCTGAAATGACTATTTTAACCTCCGAAAATGAATTCTTGTGGTCATTATTGACTCGTTGAAAAGTTTTAAAAAGTGTTTGACAAATAATCAGAATGTGTGAATTTAGAAAAACCGTATATTAAAATTTCATAAAATCATTTAAATTTTTTTAATAGTTTTGTTGTTTATGATTACAAATATGTTGCTTTGTTTACAAATATGTAACAAAATAAGTCTATTAATTTTTTGTTTCACTTATTTTCCTGGTGGTGAAAATTCTTTTTTTATAAATAATATTTCTATTTATAAAAAAAGGTAACAATATACTATTTAATAACATTTTATAACAATAGAACTATATAAAAAATTTAAATGGTTTTATGAAATTTTAGTATACAGTTTTTCTAAATTACATCCTGATTATTTGTGAAACACTTTTCAAAACTTAAACTTTAAAAGTATTTAAAGGGATCCCAAAACTCTGAGACATGTTGTGTTCATATTAAAGAGAATAATAAAAAAATGTTTGGGCTAAATTTTTTTGATTAAAACAAAAGAATAAATGCATACCAAGAAAAACTAACTTTTTTTGTTTTAGTCTTGCCTTTTCTGTTTTGTTGTAGGCCAAAAAGTCAGCATATTATACATTGCATTCTACAGACTTGATAATTTGTTTAAGAGAGTTTTATTTCTAAGAGTTTTAGTACAAGATGTCATTAATTTTTTTGTTTGTGTAAAAGATAGATTATGTAAACAAACAAAATAATGTCATGTACTAAAACTCTTAGGAATAAAAAATGCTTGAATAAATTATCAAGTCTGTTGATTGTGGCGTATATTATGCTGATCTTTTGGCCTTCAACAAAATGTAGAAGGCAAGCTTTGACTAAAAAAAAATTAGTTTTTCTTGGTATGCATTTATTATTTTGTATTAATCAAAAAAATTTAGCCCAAACATTTTTTTAAATCATTTCTTTAATATGAAGACAACATGTATCGGAGGTTTGGGATCCCTTTAAGGCATTACTTTAATAATAATGTATAAAAATTCCTTTAATTGTCTTTAAAATTTTTCCGCAAATTGCAATGAATAAATGAATGGTTTATAATTATAATTTGTATTTACTAATTGTGTATTATACGTGTGTGTATGTATATATACACACACACACATACAGACCAATTTCGACTGCGCCGATCTTATTTGAGTGCTACCTAAGTTCAGAAATAAAGAACTTTTTTTTTACGGCTAATATATTTTTTTAACAAAAAGTGCTTAAATACTGCAAATTTCCTTACAGAAAGGTGCTGGCATGGGGTACCACAAAATTTTCCTAAACTAGCCCCTGATATGTGTGTGTGTGTTTGTGTTATATATTTTTTACAAGCATATGTTTGTAACATTAATGTTACAATGATATACACATAACAAGCGTTATTTATTGCCCCGTGAAAAAATTCTTTAGACGTAAATTTTTTTTTTTTTGCAAAAACCGTTCCTGTTTATTATCCAATTAATTAAATTTTTTTAACTGCACTTTTTATTTTAGTAACAATGATAATTGTACTTTTAAGAGAGAAAAAAGCTTATGTAACAGCTATCAATTGCTCCCATAAATGTTTTTAGGGGAGTGTGGGCGAGAGCTAAAGTTTTTGCTTCCCGCTGAGGCCTGTATATACATAGTCACAAATAAAAGTTAAGAACATTTTTGAAATTTGCAAAAAATTTATTTTTTATATTGAAAATTATGAGTATTAATTAAAATTATATGCATAAGTAATTTATTTTTTAAACCACTAATTTTTTTTTTAATAATAATTTATTATTTAACAAAAAATTAAATTATTATTTATGGAAAAACTAATGAATTAACAACAGAAAAACATGCTCGGATAAGTATTTTCTATGAAGGTGGATTGATCCCTATTACTACACATTTTAATGTAACAGCTGCATCATAATTATATTGAAACAGTGTTATGAAAAAGCAGAACCCTAACTAGTCAACCAAAGATGGCTACTTTTGCACATTTATCTGTATGCAAAGGCTTATCAGTTTCCCAGTGCTTCTGAAATTTCATCTATAAGTACCGCTGGTTTGTGCCAATGATTGTGACAATCGGAAGAGGTTTGTGCAAACAGTTTCATTTGGAAGAGCCATATTCCAGCAAAAAAAAACTTGCCTTTTTCAAAAAATTTAGAGGCTGTAAGGCCTTTTGTCGGAAATACTAGGACTGGTTAGTAGAAGGGAAGATGTAATATTTAGTGACAAATTATTAATTGAACAATTTAGTTGTCTTTCTACAAGCGTTAGACACCCGCCTTGCCAACAATGCAATGGCCAATATTTGTTTATGACTGTAAAATATTGCTTTAAAGTCATTATATGATGTCCCATTCGCCCAATCAAAAATGATGACTTATGGAATTTGCATTTTAACACTACAATAGCCACGTTTACCTTAAAGTACTTCAAGAAAACTTAAAATTTTCTCAAACATCACTAATACCCACAAATATCTGCATAATGGGGCATCATTTCACCAGGCCGAGCTTTTAAGCAGTTGGTTATGGAAAAATAAGATTGAGGTCATTGGTCACTAGACTTGTAATTCGACTAACCACATAACTGTTAAAAATTGCTGTAATTGTCTTTAAAATGAAATCCAGAAATCGAGACTCTCATTTTCTGATGTTCTATGAGAAAAAATTAGGCCGGAGACATAATCTGAATCTTAGTATATACTCAACTTATGTTTTCTGAATATTTAAGAAAGTTTATTCACTAATTTCCTAGCCATTTAGCTAATTTTTTAAAAGCTTAAGGTTACCATACTAGGTATTAAATTGATAAGTAAACGTTTAGTAATGCTATATAGTTATTCTTTTTGTCAATTATTATGATTACATGATAGTTGATATAATTAACATATTTTGATAAAATAATAAACACGACGAAAGTCGTGTTTATTTTAAATACATTATTCCACTGTATGTGTGATGTATATAGTGTATGACTGAATGCATGATGTATATCATAAACTCTTTTTTGACTTGTGTTTTTATTAAGTATGGTTCTGAAGTATTTAGAAATTTATTCTATTTGACATGAAACTTTTTTAAAAAATAAAGGATAGAGAACGAGAAAAAGAGCGCCACAAAAGAAGTCGCCATCGAAGTCGCTCGCCAGGTAGAAAGAAATGGAGATACTCTAAAAGTCGGTCTCGTACCAGATCACCAAGTGTAGATAAATTTGGGAGATCAAAACAGCGAAGAGATAAATTAGAAGAAGATGATGACACCAGAGTGGAACCTGGTGTTAGGACAGAAGAAATGGAAAGGCAACGAAAAATGTATGTAGTTAAATTTAATTAGCTATAAAGCATTTATAATTTTTTTTTTTTTTTTCTACAAATAAAATTCCAGCTTAATTTTTGCAGTTCATATTTTGTTTTATATTATTTCATTAGTCAGGCATTTTATATTGTTTTATTATTTTTATTGATATATATAATTTTTTTAATTTGATATAATTTTTTTGTATAATAATTTAGTCGTGCTACTGAAATGCAAAATAAATTTATTGAAGAAGAAACTCAGAGGCGCATTGAAGATATTGTGATGAAACGAGTTGAGGAAGAGCTAGCAAAACGCAAAATAGATGTTGATGAAGAAGTTATGCGTAAAGTAGAGGAAGCAAAAAAACATGTTGAACATCATCTTGAAGGGGAGTATGAACGAAGAACTAAAGAGATCGCTGAGCAATTTAAAGGAAAGGAGGTAAAAATTAACCTAAAAAAATTTGGTAGTTGTGTATTTGGTAGGTTGTAAATTTTCCCTGGTTTGTTTACCAACTTTCTCAATAATTTTATAATTAGTAAGTTAACCCAATGATATTCAAAGTTATTTTTTATATTGTTTGTTGAAAAACAAGTAGTCTACAGTAGTCTTTTCTGTTTGATGAATGCTTTCGCGCTCTTGTGCTCGTTTTGTGCTCGCCCACATGCCCTCTAATGCTGACGCTTTTTTAGGCGCTGACTAAAAAATTTCAAGCGTGTTTTAAAATTGCAATAAATCTTTTTTTTAATCAAATTCTAATTAAAGAAGTACAAAAAAAAATATTTTTTCAAATCGCTAATCACTGTCAGCACTTTTTCGTATGCTGATGCAATAAACAATAAAAATTAATTTATTGTTTATTGCATAAGTTTTGCGTCAAAAAATTGTTAGATATTTTTTCATTTTTATATTTTTCTTAATAGTATCTATTAATAATTCCTACACTATAATAAGTTTTTTATTATTTTTTTATTTACTTATTATGAAACAAATATAAAGAAAAAATATATATATGTGCAAATCGTTTAAAATAATAAAGATACAATAAAAATTTAATTTTTTGTATGAAGATTTTTGAAAGTTACTGCTGTTGCTTTTAGCTAGTATATGTTGAATTAAGCAATTGCAAATCGCTTAAATCTGGAAAAATATCTGGTCTTCAAAATTAGTAACAGTTTAGAAATGCTAAACTGTTTATAAAGAACGTATTTACAAAAATTCCTTGGAATTGTTTTGCTGGTTTGATGTTAGGGAATCTTGCATAACTATTGTCAAACTATTGTAAAAAAGATTTTTGATTAAGTGCAGGATAATTATCGTTAATGTCATTTTATTCGCATTATTTTCATGGAATTGTAAAAAGGTTTCTCGAGAACCGCCATGAAAGATAGTCTGATTTGGCCTGAGTTTTCTATTAAATGAATTTCATTGTTTTAATAAAAATAACATTGAAATAAGCTCTATGAGTTGTCTTTCTTTTGTTTTAGGTATACTTAGTTTTATGTTTTTCTATGATAAGTTGTTCTAAAAGTACAAGGGTGGCTTCTTTTGCATTTTTAGCAGACAAAGCAATTACAGTTATTTTTATTTATCTTTTTATTTATCTTTAATTTATCTTTTTCAATCCTTTTAGATATCAATACTTTTAAAGCATTATCTGTTCTATTATTTACAGACAGTGCTGTAGCAATAAGATCCCCTGAGGTTAATTTCATCAGCCTTCTACTTTTAAATTATCTTTTGTTTTGTGAAATTAAAAACAAGTTGAAAAGTCTGGTTAATTGCTCTGGTTAATTGGTAGTTATTTTATCACAAAGCAGTTCTCAAAAGAACTTAAGATTTAAACAAAATTCTTGATTTCAATAACAGAAATGTCAAAATTAGCATCATCTCTTCTAGCATATCATTCTAGTTTATTGTTACATTTGAGAATATATATTTTTTTCCACATTGCTTGGTATCTTTTCTAATAAAATAGGTCTTTTTGGATCTCTTTCCCCATCACGAATCAGGCTAAATATTTTTGTAAGAATAATCTTTATTTGCAGAATTAAAAACAGAAAAAGCTATTCAAGGTGTGACCCAACTCAAATTTACCAGAGCGCGAAATATTCTGCTGAAAATAGATTTACTGAAATAAAAATAACTTAGTTATTTTATAAGACTCTCACAGCTGTTATGTTTAAAATTTTTTTTTGTATTAAACAGATGTTAATCCAAAATTTAAGTAAAAAGTAAAGACTACTACTTTAATTAACTTCAAAAGAGAAAAAAATAATAACTTCAAAAATACAAGTAAACAAACTTAATATACTCGTTGTTCAAAAAGTACACATGTTAATTTGATACATGTTCAAAAAAGTACACACGTTGATCTTAAAATAAGTTTTATCTGATTTAGCAGACAAAGAATCGTTACAAAAGTAATCATCTTATCAGGTTATTTTGTATCAAAATTGATTTTAAACGTCATGAAACCTTTTTTCATAAAAACTTTAACCTAGGAAGTTTATAACCTTTTTTCATAAAAACTTTAACCTAGAAAGTTTATAACCTTTTTTCATAAAAATTTTGACCTATGAAGTTAGTAACCTTTTTTCATAAAAACTTTAACCTAGGAAGTTTATAACCTTTTTTCATAAAAACTTTAACCTAGGAAGTTTAACCTAGGAACCTTTTTTGCTTACAATGTTTTGATTCCAACTAACAAGAGAAAAAATAAAAAAATTTGTTGCTTTATTGTTAGTTTTCACATTTTTTTCAAATTAAAAATTTTTCTCTTTTACTTTTTTTTTTACTGATTGCAATTATTATTTAATTTTTTGTGTTTAAGTTGTAATGTAAATAATAAATATTGTTACCAAAATTTGTTGGCTTAAATTTATGTTTGTTCTTTAATTTATTATATAAGTTAGTGTCTCAGTTGGATTTCTAATTGTTAGTTATTTTACATAAATAATTTTATTTTCTGTTTTAAAATATATCTGTGATATTGCATATACATTTTTTGTGCAGTTTTTAAAGTCGTTAAGCCATATTTTTAAGGAACAATTAAAAGCAGAAATTGAAAGATTAAAAAAAGAAGTGGAAAATGCTTATGAAAAAGTTCGTGATTCAGAGAGAAAATTAGTGAGTTTTTTTTTTATATAATATTTTGAAATTTAATAATATTAATAATTATTAATAACTATTTTAATTAAATTACTAGTCTTATGTTTTAAATGTTTTTATTCATTTGAAAATAAAACCACTTTTGTTACAAAAGTTTAATGATATTTAAACTATTTCTACCATCTGCATTTCGATTAAGAAATTTATGGTTTTTAAAGAATATGTTAACCATTTAAAATATGATATATGACAGTTAAATTTCATTGTGTGTGAACTCAATTTATATTTTTTAAACTTTTTCTATATTTTATATATTTTTTATTCTTACTATAAGGAACAAAAACATTTTTTTTTATAACTAATAATTTTTTCAAATAACTAATTTGAAAATTTTTACAATTTTCGCTGACTTTATAAAAAAAATCATGGAATCTCATTTATACATTCAAATTCTACCTGGACTAGTCGAAAGAAATTTCAGACACTTATTGAAGTGTTTAGTTGTGAAATGAGGTGATAAATGAATGTTGTAGATAGCAACGTTTAGTACGCCAATAATCCAGAAATAAAACCAAGTTATTTACAATGACACATAAGAAGTAACACTTTTACTATCTAGAAGCTTTTTTCTACAGCACAAGCTAAATCTGAAAATTATAATAATAATATAATGATAGCAAAAGAACTCCTAATGATAAATTTTTAAAAGCTTTGCTAAAATTTATATAAACAATTTTTAAAAGATTTTAAATTTCAACAGAGGCATTATAATTTTTTAAGAAAAGCATACAGTTTTCTTTCATTTTTAAAAATTATAATTTAAGATAGATTTTAAGTTATATGCACTAATTTTTGTGTACAATTTTTGAGCACATTGTATATTCAAATGTGATTACTAAATATGGTATTTCAACAACTTTTCTTTGCTTGAAACAAATATTTGCTTGGTATTTTGTATGCCAAGCAATCCCGTCTGATTCTTTAATTTCTTTTTTTAATATCGCGCTCTTGCCATTATGTAAGTCATGATTTTCCCTTTAACTCAAACTTCTAATTAGAGCAATTAAAAACTAATGCATTTTATTGTTTTACAGGCCGAAGAACGATTGGCGATGCTCGAAAGACAGAGAGAACTTGAAGAAGACAAAAGACAATTAGAATATAACTTTTTGAAAAATGAAAAAAAAGCTCAAGAACTTATCCTAAACAAAAAAAACTCTAGACCAAAACTTAAATTTGAATTAAAGCCCATGATACCAAAATAACAGAACCTTCGGTTCTCGTCGAAAGAAATGTTCGATGGGTTTTAATTTCGTTTCTAGCAGTTATGAAATAGTAACTTATTATGATTACTTTTCTTTGAAGGAGTAAAAATTATGATTTCTATTTAAAGGGATCGTATGCGAAAGTTTATAATTCATTTAAAGTCTATATGTATATAAAAATCTGAGGCGCTAATGTATATAAACTGACAAAATACTCGTGAATTTCGTAAATA